ATAGGACAGTTTCGATATTAAGATTTCTTTATTCTTGGGTTTTGGAGAAGGGTCTCTTTCAAAGATCTTAACTCTCGAACCCATTTAGGATGAGTTAAAGGTTTGGCAAGTCCAAAAGGAGCTGAAGGGAAAGTGAGAAGATGGTTGGGACAATACATTTCAAATGGGGTTTTGCCTCGAGGATTGATTATTTTGTGGTTCGATCGGTTAGTGTCTGTTTTATTGACTAAGGAAATGACAACATCATAAAAAATCTCTTCTAATTTTGAGGGATTGTAGCATGCTCGATAAAAATTTTCGAATCGAGATATTTGGAGATAGTGAGAGTATGTACCTTTCTTCGCCTTCGATTTGTCCTGCAATACGAGAGAAGGACGAGCGGTCAATTTCGATTAGACTATGTCAAAATTAGAATGAATATTTGAAAACCAATCGGTCCACCACTGAGAAAAACCAAGAGTAGATAAATAATTCGATTAAAAAGCGTAAGGGTAAAAATGCATCGGGTTTTTTGGCAACAGTTTGGCGAGCTCCCGTCCAACAGTTGATTCACTTAATTTGGACCTTGAGGAGGTATCGAGGGGGAAAAAAGGTAAGGCTTGACTCAAACCAAACTGCCGCGAGAAGAGCTGGGGTAATAAGTAACAAGTTGAAGATCCTTTGATTGAAAACCCGATACCAGCACATCTTGGGTTAGGTAATTACTCCACACGTCGACCAGTTCTGATTGTAACCCGGGAGTAAGAGCAGAGAATTTTGACTTAAACCATGCCGGGCCTCGAAGCCTGTCACTTACTTTCCCTTGATACACGGTGAAGGGGGCCAAGATTGAATCAAAATGAAATCGAGTTAATAAAAATCGTAGGTAATTGCGATAAATGGCCTCGTCGGGTTTGTGGTGAGGATGTCGAGAGGACAATCGAGCACCTTCCAAATTTAAAATTGGGGGAATGTCGAAAGTTGGAGAGAGAATACTTTCAAAAATTGAGGTAAGCCATAACTGAATGAACCAAATGGGACCTGAAAAATTCCCCGAGGTCCTGGGGGTATTTAAAATATCGACAGCTTCATCAAAAGAAGTGTAAACATGGGCCAATAATAATTTTGCTAGACAAATCCGTGGTTGGCCAGTGTGAAGGAGGTAGGCAAGGTTATAAATGTGGGTCGAAATCTGGATGGATCGAGGGCAAAAGACATGGGTGCAAAGCTAATATACCAAGAAGGCCACATGCTCCTCATCAGAAACAATTACTGTTGGATCGTCGATATAATGTTTTTCGAGAAAATGTCCATAGGCCTTCGATTCCCAATCGATTTTGGACCTTAAAGAATTATCCGAAGGGAAAACACCCTTATAGTACTTCTCCCCTGTGGGCTTTAATCCAGTAATTGCAGCGATTTCAAAAAGGGTGGGTGAAAGGGGACCACAAGGAACTTCCAGTGCATGCAAGTCCTTATTCCACAGATGGACAACTGATAAAAACATAGTCATATCTAAAAAAGATAAATCACATCGAGACAGATGTAGGAAATCGAAGATCCCCACATCTCTCCAATGGTTCCCAAACTTGGTGTTAACTCGATCAAACCACCTAAGGTACAAGGGTTTTTTGTGGAGAGGGCCTGTTCGATATACTTTAGATACAATATTCAGAAAGTCAATTCGAACCTCAGACTGATTGATAGGAGCCTTACTCTCTGAAGAAAGGTTGAGGGAAGAAGAAAATGATCTGCCACAGTAGCGGATAGGACCACCAAACGCATAACTCACATTATCAGCAACATAAGGGATAAGTACCTGGGTCTCGACAATCCTCTGGGAGGCTTCTTCCATCAAGGGAACCGGAGCAAACTTCCTCCCATTTATCTCTATTAGGTTGGAGGTCACCGAGGAGAGTGGTGGGGCGGAGAAAGCAGAAGATTTTGAGGTTGCCATTTCAGCCAGTAGAGAAGAGGAAGACGAAAGGTTGAAGATGAGGACGGGCAAACGAGGGAAAAGTGAGGTTTGTGGTAAAAAACAAGAGTAAAAATTTATAAAAGTATTTTAAAGAAGCTGGGTAGGGTATGCGAAACAGCGAATTGGAAAGTAGGTAAAAGCGTAGCAGCAGAAGTGATGTGATAGGTAACATAAATGGAGAAACCCCAGAAACCCTAAAACCCTGGAAACCCTAAAAAATCCCAAGGAGTTATCTCGAGTTTTCAAGAACGATTAAGGGCGGGAGTCATATTTGGAAGACTATAAAAAATTGATATTCTTCCAGGGGGGCATTTGTTAGTAAAAGAAAAATCGATACCAGGATCGAAAGAACAAGAGAGAGAAAATCGAAAATCATATAGTTGGTTAAAAAATTGATAAGATAGGTAAAAGACACCTGGTAACCACAACATAGAAATACATCGAGAATCAGAATCGAGAATCGAAGGGAGAATATTTGATGTCTATTGTTGAAGAAAACCGAGAAGTTAGAATTAAGTGTAAGGTTAAGGATTAAGGGAGCAATTCAAAGTTCTCGAAGGTTTGAAATCGATATCAAGGGAAAAGTCAACCTACATGGCTATCGAAATTATGGCTAAGTTATAAATTGAGGAACGGTTAAACATGTACATGGAACGTGGAAGCAGTTTTCTAAACCGTAGAACTAAGGGATATGTGCATGTTGGATCGTGGTGGCAGTTTTTGTTAACTGCTCTTAGGAGGTTACTTGAAGGATGCTCTATAAATAGAGCGAACAGTGAAGGAAAAGAGGGAAATTGGTAGAGACAACAGAAGCGCAAGTGAATAGTCTACAGGAGAACGACGCATCATGAAGTTTCTAATGCTCTGGATTTCCGTTTTCATTGATTACCTTTATCGCTTTCTCTACTTTCCCTGGTAATTTACTTTCATTGCAGTTTACGTTTGTCGAACTTTAAGTTTTGTCAGTTCGATTCCTTGTCATTTAATTTTATGTAAGTTAAGGTTATTCGTTTAAGATCCTCGCCATTTACATTCTTGCAATTTCGATTTATTGCCTTTTACACTTAATGCAAATTTGAGGTTTCCGCACTTTACACTTTTCTGGAATTTAATATTCTGCACTGTCTTTCGATTCGACATTTTCTACTGTTTTCTTTACTTCGCGTCTCTTAATAAAAAATACCAAAAATAGTATTTTCGATTTGCATACTAAGTTGTGTTGTTTACATTTTTCGAAACCATGGGTTTTTCGATTCTCATACATTTTTTCGATTGAAAACCATTTGCTAGCCTAAATAAAAAGAATCTACATGGTTAAAATTTAGTTAGAACCTAAGTCTTTAAAAATCGAAATCGATCAAATTTTCAATAGAAACAATACTAATATAAAAATGTTCTACATTAACGTAAACCATGTGAATCTGAATATTATAGGTTCGATTAATACTTTGATTTTCATGAGTTTTGGTCTGTTATTTGTACTTTTTTTTTTTAATCTCTTGATGATTAGTGGTATTTGGGGTGCCCATTATTGTTTGGACGTCAAAGGTTCATAATAATGCCTAATGTGAATTTTCTGATTAAAAATATATAAATAGAGCCAATGATTTTATATATTAATGATGTTAAATCGAGGTAAGAATTTGTAACTTACATTAAAAGATTTATCAATTAATGAAAAAAATTAATGAGATTTTGTTCACCCTGTAACTTCTTTCCATAAGATAATTTATTATTTTAAATACAAGTCCAAGGTCTTAAATTAGTAGGGTAATTTATTTTTTTAAGTCAAATAATATATTTATATATTTTTAATTACACACCTATCTACCAGAGAAGAATAATCAACAAATTTAAATATATAATATTAAAGAGATAAAATATTTTTTTCAAATACTTAAATAATAATTTTAACAAAATTACTAACATATACGGCCACTTCCTATATTAACATTTTAAGAAACAAAACACAATTAAAAAAAAATAGAGGAAAAACTATTGATTCAAACACGTTAATTCCCTGATCAATTATCATTTGTTTAATTAATTATGAATTGACTAATATATATTAATCAATTCTAAATTGATTGATATATCATTATTCAAGCTGCAAGAAATTCCTATAATAAATATGTCATTGAATTATCAAAGATTTAGATCTAGCTAAATAATTTTTAAAACCTAATTAAATTATCAAGATTCAAATTTCATCGATTGAAAAATAAATTTAAACAATTTATAACCTAACCTCAAATCAGTCATAGAATTGTAGTAAAAGAACATATTTTTGATTATTTTACAAATTTTCCAGATAATTGGATATTATAACTGACAAATTGATTAAACGATTCCAGAAGGTGAATGAAAATGGATAAATTTTCAATATTCGAAGTATAAAGCATATTCTCAGCGCGTGGACATGTTCATTATGAATGAATAACCTGGGAAGGGTTTCATTACACTGCTCCAATGTTTGGTTGCAGTGGTCAGAAGCGATAACTGTTGAGTGGTGGTGACGGGTGAGTGAGTGATGATCACTGTTCATCTCTAAGCCCCCAACCCCACCAACATATCGTCTATGATCCACGCCTGTTCCTATTGGCTCGGTGCAATTCACCTGTATGCTGTGCTGCAATTTGCAAATATAATATTACAAAATATTTTATCCTTTATTAAAAAACTAATTTTTTTTTCTTTAATGAGCATGACAAGGGACATGGGGTCCCTGCATTATAAAAATGATGGTGTCCTTTTCCCACTTTTGTCTTTATTTTAGTTTTTTCTTACGTCACCTTTCCCAAATTTTATATAATATAAATTCTCCTTCTTGCTGCTCTAAAAATCATTCAAGCACCAACACAAACACAAACCCCTCCTCCACCAGTCTTTCTCTCTCCACAATTTTGCTTCTCTTTGTTCCACTGCATTTTGTGCTTGTCTTCTTCTGCTTTAACTTTGTTTCCTTTGCTGGAGTGTTTTCTGTTTCTCGTTCAAGCTTTGGTATTTCAACGAAGTGTGTTGTTGTTTCTTCTGGGCTGGAAAAATGTTTGCGGAGACAGGACTTCTGTTCCCATATTTTCGGAATTTCTCTCAAGAGTTTCAACAACTTGAGGAATACTGCATGACCCAGAAGTCCAATGCTTCAATGGTACTTTTTTCTTTCTCTTTTTACTATTTCTACTTAAGATTTTCTTATGTGTGTTCGGTTTTTCCCCCTCTCTATCCGCATTTGCTTTATGGGTTTTTCCTTATGCTGAGTAAATTTCAAGTTTTCTTTTCTTTTATGTGTTGTGCTCTTCTTCATACAGAATAGTTAATACCTTGGAGCAAATGAGGCTAAATAAAATTGAAAGGTTTCTTCTTCCTTGAACTATGTCCATATTTCCACTTGTTTGGAAAGAGTCTTATTTTAGTATGTGCGTATGTGTTTGATTAATTACATGATAAATAATATCAAAGTCGGAAAAGGAAAACTAATAACGAAATTATTGTTTGACATTTCATATGTATTTATTATTTTACTTCATTTTTGGTACCTTCCATTTAGAATGTTTTCTCAGTCATACTCACAGGCACAAGTGGAAACAGCTAGGCATGGCTTTATGTGCTGGATCTGGAAAAGTGTTACAAAAGGAAATAAAAGTTGTATAGATGTAAAGTTTTTTGGTTGTGATACTTCCGTGTTATGTAATATTTCTTCCCTTTCTTTATTAATTTCTGGTGTGAAGTGTGAACTCTCAGTGGGGTTTGTCTTTTTGTGCCGCACTGAGGGAGGTTGATTGAAGAGGAAAAAGTCCTTTTATTCTCTTTTTCTTTGTAGTAAGGAAAAGCTTAGAGGAAAAGGACTGTTAATGCTCAATTTAATAGTTTCTCCATGGTTTTGTTTGGCACTAAAAATATAGTTGGGCAAACTCTGTGCTTTTGCATCTATTTCTGTTCAACAGAAAAAAAGATGTACTGATGAGCTGTTTTCATATGGTTTGGCTGGTCTTATGTTCATTGGAAGTTTAAACAATTTTGGGGTTTGAGCCTGAGAGATTTGGATAGTTGTTCACTTTTATTACTGAAAGTAAATATTTTGTTTTACCAAAGTTCAAATATTTTAGCTTTATTCATAAGAGAAAACATTGATCCACATTCTTAAGCTGGGTGATCAAATTCATTATGGACTAAATGATGCCAGTTTCGATGTTTCAGCAATCTACTCCTGGATTCTTTCAAAGTCAGCTTTTGGGTGAAGCATGGGCTTTGAATTTGCAACCATGAACCTTAATACAATTTCAAATAACTTGACACTTGCCAGCTCTTCCTTTCAGTGTGAAGTTTCAGCTGAAAATGTATTGGCACCTTTCATTATTGCAAAGCTTCTGCTTTGTTGTACCAATATGGTTTTTTCTCTTGTATATAGTATTTGCTTTCTAGTTCAATAGAAAGCTTGACAATCCTTGTCTTATTTAGATTTTATCATTCGACAAATAATTTATGTTATCATGATACTAACAATTGATTCCATCCACCAAACCGGAGAATTTTTTGTTATTCATTAGTTGTATACGAAACTTCAGTGTTTGGCTAACGAATAGCTTTTGTATCACCTCAGTACCCTCGTTTCGTTTTCTGTATCTTCGTTCTAAAACAGTTGAGGAACAATCTGTATTGGTCTAAATCTTTTCTATAAACCGTATTTTGGTAGGATGATGATGATTTGTGATACCCATTGACTCATTCTAAGAAATTCGTAATTTGGACAGTGGCGTTATAAGGAATCATACAAATTTTATCTTGAAAACTTTTAGCATTATTTGTCTCAGGTATCGTGTGCTAGAGCAACTTCTTAACATTAGTAAACAAACAGGTGATGAATTCTGAAAGTATTTGGTTATTGGATAATATATAACTGAATATTAAAGGTTTTATTTATGTAATTAAACATCTATTATTTGCTCTTTTTTACTTTGTAAGACTAAGTCATGTTAAGCCACACTGCATCTGGAACAAACCAAGTTGTTATTACCATTATCGTTATCGGTTCACACAACCAATATTAACACCCGATAGGATGTTTTACTCGTGTTGTCTATTATGATTAACTATTCAACATCCAATGTGATTTTGTTGCTGTAAAGCTAGAATACTCCTTTTACTGATTAATTGGTTTTTCTTTTCATGTCTTCTTGCAGAATGACCTTGTTCAATCTTCCTCTGCAATCTCAGACTATGATTTGTTAATAGAGGGAGATCTGTTCAAAGCACCTGAACCTATTATTGAAGAACCAGCAATGGACCTCGATCTCGTGCAAGCAGACATCTCAATGATATCTTGTGGGGAGGATGTCTCCTCACAGGGTCTAAAATCATCAGATATTGATGTACTTCAAAATGAACAGCTTCTCAGTGAGGTATTCTACGAGTGCAAAAAGGATCTCTTAGAAAAGACAGTGATAGAGTCACCACTCTCAGATATTATGGAAATCAAGGTTCCAGCTCTGAACATTGAGGAGAATTCAGTTCAAGTAAACAAACCATTTCCTCACATGACTCTACCAAAGAGTATCAGTTCAGGAAGCCTGAGTTCAATGGACTGGATGCATGGAGCTGCAATGAAGCCTGCTTTTCTGGATTTCCCGGGAATAGATTTCAATGAAGTTTATGGCATGCGGAGAGCTTTTAGCGAAGGAGATATAAAGGTCAAACTCAAACTTATTCATATGTTGTGTGTATGTTTAAAAGTTAAAGCTCATAGCCTGTGATGTTTTTAACACACAAAAAGATGAAAACTTCATCTGTAACAATTGATCTGCTCTTTAAACTAAGGAATGATGGCATGACATGATCTTAATGTGATTGCTTGCTTTTCTATATGAACTGAAAAATCTAATAGCTTTCTTCCCTTTACACAAGATGGGCTAATTATTGTCTCTGCTCTTATGACAGACTCTTAGTACTGGCAACACGAGCTTTAGCCAATGTACCCAGGAGAGGCCTTTTCTTCTCAGCAACTGCACAAGTGAGGAACGACAGGAAAAGCTTTCCAGATACAGAAATAAGAAGACAAAGAGAAATTTTGGGAGGAAAATCAAGGTAACTATAGGTTTTCTATCCTTGTATGCTAACTGAGATTTTCACAGCAGAATAGCCTTAAAAAAGTCTATGGAATAACACATATGCTGGTAACCTGATCCTGATGAACTCAACTTACAATGTGCTTTGGTTTCAGTATGCTTGCAGGAAAGCACTTGCTGACAGTCAACCAAGAATCCGTGGAAGATTTGCAAAGACAGAAGAGTTAGATGTGAAGAGGCAATGAATACTAACTGACTCAGTTGGATTTGGAAGAAAGCAGGAATCAAGTGCTGTATTTGATGAAGATGTTTGGAAGGGCTATCTGCGTGAAAACTATAGACTTAGTGGAGTTCTATAGCTTGAACAAGTTTTGCTGAATGAATGAATAAATGAGGGGGGACCTTAAACTCCTTAGCAGGGTAGTTTGCCCCTTATCTGCTGTAGTACCCTTCTTTGTAGAAATGACCTTCCACGTATGTAAATATGGTTTGTTGAATAAAAGAATGGAAGAGTAATTAAGGTTGTATTGTGTTCATATTATACATACTCAAATATGCAATGTTTATTTTTGCCAGTTACTTATTTTCAAATCTTCTCATTTTTCTTTTTCTCCTCTCCACCCATTCAGTACATATATGGTTCAGATGTTAAGATTATAGGGCTGATACACTAGAAGTAACACAATTTGCGGTATTGAGTGACTTTTTATTAATGTCATGACTTCAAAACGTGAAAATTGCTAGATGAAGGGTGAAAAAAAGGTCCAATAGTGCATACAAATGATGCATTGTATTTGGCCTTGTGTATATCTATTTGATGCGATGAACTTAAAAGTGGAATGTATATTATGCATAAAAGTTGTTGATATTGATTCTGTTGTTCAGACTTTGACTTTGATGTGTGTAATGGTATCATTTTATAGACGGTGTTAGTATGTAAAGGTAGTTTTATGGCAGACAATATAAAGCACAAAAGTTTTATGGCATATAATTATTCATTTTTTTTAATAATAATACTGTATCTATGTTTAAAATTTATGTGTTTATAATTAATAATCCTTTAATATATTTATTGTTAAAATATTTTTAATCATTTTGAATTTTAATTTTGTGATATTATTCAAGTATTAATTGGTTTACTTAGTTATGATTTAAGTATTATTCAATGTTAAAAGAAAGTGAAAGAAACTACTATACATATATTTTTTATATTAGTTTGTCTATATAGTAGAAATTAGAAACCCATTCTTAACCAACTAATTAAGTTTTATTATAAATGATAAACACATAAATATTCTTCGATATCACTCCTATATTAATACATATAACATTTTTATTATATATTATAAGCTAACTAGACAATTATTATTTAACAATTTTTAATTTTTTTTATAATATGAATATTATTTAAAAAATTACTATTGACTTAACACACAATAGAGGTATTTGAAGAAATAAATTACAATAATTTGCTCGGTCTAAACTTAATAATTATTTATATAAATAAATAAAAAAAGCACAAAAAGTTTGTTAAGAATAAAATTCTTCACTTTTTATAATTTTTTAAGTCAATAACTTTTTTTCTTCTTCTAATTAGTATTGTAAATTATGACAAAGACATGAATAAAATTTGATTTCTGATATATGTATAATCAATGTCCTTAAAAATTTACTCGCGATGTATTATGCAAGTTCCTCAGGATATAACACGAATTTTTCGAAATTTCCAAAGAACTAAAAAACTAACAAATAACTCTTAAAAGAGTAAATAAACCCAAGATAAAAGGAATGAAAAAAGAAAGAAAAAAGGATTAGTAAAATTGTATTTTTCAAGGGGTGTGAAATAGTCTATTCATAGGTGTAATATGAGCAACAAACCAACATTGTGAGTTAGTGGATTTCATGCAAGCGGCCCCACTCGACACTCATATAGGTCATTTCATCAAGCATATGCAGCAAATCATACATCACTCGTAAGGGATATGAAATCATTAAAAACTTTGTTTAGACTAAAATTCATACACTACATAAAATTTTAATTACAAAGATACAGTATCTAGCACTTTCACACACACCATAAAAATGAACATAATTAATTTTAATCAATTTTAGTACTAGCAGAATTAACCAGTGACTTGTTTTTACCCATATGAACCTTATTCATGGGATCTCCAATCACAAAGGTTGGGTTACCATCACTTGTTTGTTTGCAAATGGCTTGAATCTTATTCCCATTGATGTTTCTAAAATCATGTTTCTCCCTAAGGGTTTCGTCAAAGGATATGTCAGATTCAGTTCTGACTTCACATAGTCAATGGATATTGTTCCACTCTTTAGCAACTATTTCATAAAATTGTGACTCAATTGTATATGTCTATTCTTTCTATTGTAATTATTGATTTTAGCTATAGCTATTTCCGATTGGCAATCACAATGTATTGACACATAAGGGGTTGGTTTCATCTCTAACGGAATATTTGTTAAGAAGTTTTTCAACCACTCACCTTCACTACCAACCATTCAAGAGCAACAATCTCTGATTCCATTGCTGATCTTGCAATAATTGTTTGCTTGACTGATCTCCATATAATTACACCACCCCCAAGTGTAATTACATAACACTAGTGGATTTTATCTCATCTGAATCAGAGATCCAGTAGGACATTGAATGTACCTACTCAGTTTACCTACTGCATGGACAATGTCAGGTTTAGAAGAGCTCATTAAATGCAGTAAGCTCCCAATTATTTGGGCATACCGAGGTTTAGAAATAAAATCTCCTATATTTTTTTTTAATTTAGAGTTAACGTCATGAGGGTTACTCACTGGTTCAAAGTTATAACGCCCAAACTTCCTAAGAAGTTTCTCAATGTATTATTCTTGGGATAGTAAAATACTATCTTCCTTCCTTATGATTTTAACTCCCAAAATCACACTGGTTTCACCCATGTTTTCATTTCAAATTTAGATATCAGAAACAACTTAGTTCTAGAGACAATGTCAATGTATGTATCAAACATTAGCATGTCATCCACATAAAATCATATAATGACATATTTGATTTTAATTACAAAGTTTAACATCTCAATGATCCAGTATCTAACACTTTCATATACTATAAGAATAGACATAATTGATTATAATCAATTTTACTGTTAACAGAACTAACAAGTGATTTGTTTTTACCCATATGAACCTTATTCATGCGATCTCCAATCACAAAGGTTGTGTTACCATCACTTGTTTGTTTGCAAATGTCTTGAGTCTTATTCCCCTTGATATTTCTAAAATCATGTTTTTCCATAAGGTTCGTCAGAGGATATGCCAGATTCCATTATGATTTCACATATTGTTCCACTATTTAGAAATTGTTTCATAAAGTTGTGTCTTAATTATATATGTCTATTCTTTTTATTGTAATTCTTGTTTTTAGCTATAACTAATCTGATTGACAATCATAATGTATTGACACAGAAGATGTTGGTTTCATTTCTAACGGAATATTTGCTAAGAAGTTTTTTTTAACCACCCAGCTTCACTACCAACCATTTAAGAACAACAACCTCTGATTCCATTGTCGATCTTGCAATAATTATTTGCTTGGTTGATCTCCATGTAATTAAACCATCTCTAAATGTAATTACATAACCACTAGTAGATTTTGTCTCATTTGAATTAGATATCCAGTTAGCATCATTGTGCCCTTATAGTACAACAAGAAATCCACTATATTCAATGACATAATCCATTGAACATCTTAAGTATCTCATAAGCTTTGCAAGTGCATTTCAATGTTCCAGAGTAGGACATTGAGTGTACCTACTTAGTCTACCTACTGCATAGACAATGTTAGGTCTAGAAAAGTTTATTAAATGCAATAAGTTTCCAATTATCTGGGTATACGGTAGGCATGGCAACGGGGCGGGGCGGGTTTTGCCTCCCGATCCCCGCCCCCAACTTTTTTAACAATCCCCGTCAACGCCCCGATCGCTGCCGGGGTTAAAAATTAAGTCCTCATCCCCGTCTCCGCTGGGTTTCGGGTTCCTCGCCCGCCTCGTCCCCAATCTATTTTATTTTTAAAAAGATAATTATATTTATAATAAATTAATTTTACTATGTATTTTTCTATATAAATAAATATTTATAATTTATAATAATTATTAATTAAATATATATTTTAATTTATTATATTTATATTAAAATATACATGTAAAAGAAATATTTAATCATTATATATATATATATATATATCTAATATTTATAACATTATTATTATTATTATTATTATTATTATTATTATTATTATTATAACACTGTATTCAAATATTTGAATATTTATAACATTATTATTATTATAATACTGTATTTAAACATTTGATTATATATATATATATATATATATATATATATATATATAAGTTAATTCATTTTTAAGTTGTCATTTAAAAATATGAAATATATAGTTTATAAGGAAATATTTAATAAGTTAATTCTTATTTAATTAGTTTGAAGTAATAAAAATTTAAATTATTAATTCCTTTTAATCCTTTAAAATATAATTATTTTATTAAGATAAAATTTGATATATGATAAATAAGCATAATAAGATAAAAAAAATATGACATAATAAAACATAATAAATATAAATTATAAATAAACTAATATTAGTTACTACTAAGATTTATGCAAAATATTTAGAAAAAGATAAATAAAAAAAATTAACTTTGTGTTCATCAAATTGGTTGAAAAGATTGAAAAAAAAATTGATTGGAGAGATTAAGGAAATGTGAAAAACTGAAAGATAAGAGAGAAAATAATATAATAAATTAATTGATATAAAAGATTGAAAAAAAAATTAAAAAGTGGGTAGAAGAAAAATAAAAATTGGTGAAATATAAAAATATAACCTTATATGTAATAAAAAAAGAAAATAAAATACTTTTAAAATATTAATATTTTAAAATTTAAATTTAAATATAAAGTCGGGACGGGACGGGACGAGGTCGGGGTGGGGATTGCATTACCCATCTCCGCCCCGGCCCCGAGTTTGACGGGGAAAACCCGAACCCGCCCCCGCCCCCGGTCAACTCGGGTTTTTCCCATCAAACTCGGGGCGGGGACGGGTCGGTCCCCACGGGTACGGGTTTAATTGTCATCCCTGGTATACGGAGGTTGAGAAATATAATTTCCTATATTTTTCTTTAATTTAGAGTTAGTCTCATGAGGGTACTTACTGGTTTGAAGTCATAACACCCAAACTTCCTAAGAAGTTTCTTAATGTATTGTTCTTGGGATAGTAAAATAGTATATCTCTTCTTTATGATTCTAACTCCCAAAATCACATTGGATTCACTCATGTCTTTCATATTTCAAATTTAGATACCAGAAAAAACTTAGTTCTAGAGACAATGTCAATATATATACCAAATATTAACATGTCATCCACATATAAGCATATAATGACATATTCACCACTTTCAAATTTAAAGTACATACATTTATCGCATCATTAGTTAAAAAGTCATCACAAAGTATAATACTATCAAGTTTTTCATGCCACTATTTTAGTACATGTTTTAATCTATACAAAGATTTTAAAAGTTTGCATAATTTGTTCTCTCGACTAGGAATAACACACTCTTCAGGTTGAGTCATATAAATTTTCTCCCTTAATTCACCATTCAAAAAAAGGTTGTCTTAACATCCATTTGACGTATAATTAGCTTATTAATAGCTGATAGAGCTAACAAAAGTCAAATAGACCAAATCCTAGTCATAAGACAAATGTATCAAAATAATGTTATTTTTTTTGAGTAAAACTCTTTACTACTAATCTTACCTTATATTTATTTATGGATTCATCAGGGTAATATTTTTTCTTAAAGATCTACTTACAACGAATGAGTTTTGCTCCCTTAAGCAAATCTACTAAAGTCAAAGTATTATTTTTCTTGATGGAGTCAATTTTAATTTTAATAATCAATGTATTGCATCAGGAGTACAAGTAGCCTCTAAAAACTCGTTAGATAATTTTCAAGTAGATGAGTGTAAAAATCACATCACAATTTAATATAATTAAAAGTAATAATTTATAATTAACAACGAATAAATTAACCTCTCAATAAAACAAGATGGATAATAATAATCCAACTTTAAGAATAATTCAAAACTAAATATAACATACAACAGTAACATTGTTATCTTATACATTAGGCAATAAAATTTAAACTACGTTTCTAATAAGTGAGAATTAAAAATGTTTAGCATAGCAATTACTTTTAAAGCACTCCAAATTGTACAAATGATTTATTCCTCGTCAAGTTGTTGTTTATGGAGTCAAGTTTCCTTGAGGCTTTTTATCAATCAGTTTGTTGTTGGTAACTGTGTGTGATCTCAAAAGATAGTACAAACAACTTTAAAACTAAGTCAGTTCAATCATAAAAATAACTTATTGTAAAATAAAACATAAAATATAACAACATCAAAGCAGAAAATGACGCAAAACAAGTCAAATCACATAACTACTTCCATAACATGTTACGGGAAATCCAAATACCTCATAAAGATTATAGAAATATATGAAATTTAACAATCAAGCTATAAACCTATAAGGAAAATACAAACCCTTCTTATACATGAATAATAAATTACTCAACTGAGATTACGACTTCATTTCTTCCTCTTTCTTATTCACTAGAAGACCCAATTCTTGAAAATAAAAAAAAGTCATTCAATTCTTACCCAACTTAAAAGTTAAAAATGCAAACCACAAAACAATTCTATAGAAATTACCATCGCTCCTCTAAGCCAGTGTGCCTCAAAAAAAAAAACAGTTCTCTAGAAATACTATTCAACTAATAGTTCTGAAACACAAAAACATCCAAGGTATGATCTATATAGAAAAATAACTATCAATGTACTTCATCAACATATACAATTACAAGTTCACAACCTCAACTTTATTATCAACATTCAACAGCTATGCGTGCAGCAGGTTCAACAATTAAACAATAAGTCAACTACAGTTAAATCCAATTATCTCTGCATTTCTCACGAGACGAATCCAATAACAACAACCAGCGCGTACCTTCCATAGAAAGGGATCTTAGCCTTTTTCTTATCAAGCATATCTGTGTGGTGGACAAGGTGCAGTCGCGGTTGAAATCGTCCATAAAGGCGAAGGAATTGCTGTTGTTCAATGCCGCAGCCTGTTGATCTTCATTTTCGACGTCCATTCCCACCATTATCTTCACTTTCTCGAAGGCTCTGTTCATGTTTTCCATTGCTTTCCCACACTTTCTCGGGAGAATGATAAAATAATGAAAGAAAAAAAAAAATATAGAACAGTGGATATGTGGTTATGGGAACGAATGGTAACTAACTATTGAAGTTGCTTCGATTTTCAAAAACTGAGTGTGGAATTTCGATGGAGATATCACAACAACGGCTCCACTTCACTGAAACCAAACCCTTCTTTGGATTTCTTCTGTTGTAGCTCTGGTCCTTGTTCTTTCCAAGAACCTACCCGCGACCGAGGAATCAGATGAGATTCGAAGCGGAGAATCTCGGGCGCTGCCTTCTCGTTCCGCCACGCGCGCTTCAGAAGCTCCACAACGGTGGTTGCAATCAAGGAATCAGCTTCGAATTTAAAGAATCAGTTGTTGTTTTGGGAATCCAGTAATATATAAGTCAAGATTGTTCTAAATGCTGAAGAAAGGAGACTAGTAAAACTTATTAAGAGAGTTGTATAATTACTGTGTTTAATATTTTATGCGTGATCCATCGTAGAGGTTTCTAAGATAAGACAGGAATTTGTCAAAGTTTCATGAGAAACTTAGAAATTAACAAATAATTTTTAAAATAGTAAATAAATTTAATATAAACAAATAAAAAAAAGAAAAAAGAGATAAGTAAAACTGTATTTTTAAAGAAATATGAATTAATTTGAAGTAAGAACAATAAATTCATATCTGTATTCAATATTATAGTAATTGTGACCTAAATATATAAAAAAGTAGAACACTTTGAAGTAGTAAAACATATTATAACTTAGTGAAACACATTCTAAGTTTTACAATACCTTTTTTTATAATTATAATTAGTTGAAATTGATAAGCTTTTATAATTATAATTAGTTGAAATTGATAAGCTTTTGATAAATTTATATTTAATGGTTTACTTGTTTTAGATGATAAATATTTAATGTATTTTATGATTTATTTATTTTTTTATAATTGATGGTTTATTCCTATTAGGTAATAAATATTTAATGTGTTCTATGATTTTTTTTTCTATAATTGATGTTATTTATTCATCTTGAACATTTAGACGTTCATTCTTTTTTACAATTTCTATAACATTATTAACTTGTAGAGAATAGGTAGCAGTAAATAACAAATTTTTCATAATTTTATCTATTATTTTTTTTTATCAAAATATGCTTATTAATAATTTGACTCCAAAGATAATTTAAACTTCAACGTTAAAAAAAAGAAAAAAAAAGAGAAAAAGAACTTCATTAATGTCCTTTCCTTCTTCTTTTTGAGCTGTTTCCTACATAAAAAGAATAAACATATTAAATAAAATATACTGATAAAACAAATAACAAATATTGATAAGTTTAAAAGTTCAAGAAACAACATACTTTTGATTAAAAATGTTGTGAAATCCAAACAAATAATATAACTATATAACATTTAGAAAAAAAATGCAACTATATATTCATCCATGGCTATACATCAAACTGTAATTTAATTTATGATGATTAATTTATATTATTTTACTTCTTAACATAAAATTTCTTAAATTTGTTATTGTTATTATTATTATTATTATATAAATTATTATTTGATATTTTAAAATTTTGTTACAATTTTAATATATATATATATATATATATATATATATATATAAATAGAGATAGATAGATAAATTTCTTATTTTTTATTTTTATAGTTATCAATAATAACTATATTGAAATGTAAAAAAATTGTCATGGAAAGCAGCACGTTTAGCATGAGTCTCTTTCGCAGTTGACATTTTGACTTTGAGACCGTCTCTATCCGCGTCGAGGCGAGTCAAACGGACCTCTGACGTGGCAAAAACCGCTTGTTATTCGCCACGTGCTCCCGCCAAACTCCTATAACAACCCCAATAAAACACCATTAATTTTCTTATCCCCTCTCTCTCCTCCGCAACGATGCCGTATTGCGACGTCGGAACGCAGCCATCCTCCCCCGTCGCCGACGCGCAACTCAACAATGACATCAAAATATTCTACAGAACTTACGGTGGCGGTCCAACCAAAGTGCTCCTCATCATAGGTCCTTCATCACCGCTTCTTTTTTTTTTCTTTTTTTTTAATCGTTTATAAATTTGTTCTGATTTTTTGGAGATTGAGCGGTCAGGATTGGCCTCGACGCACGACGGATGGGGCCCACAAATCAGGGGCCTGACAGGAACCACCCTCCCCAACGAGGACGACGACGTTGTTTGTAGCGGAAGGGAAGGCAATGGCGGCTTCCATGTTTGCGCGTTTGACAATCGCGGGGTGGGTCGGAGCTCCGTGCCCGTCGCAAAATCTCAATACTCGTGAGTTGCTAGATTCAAGGGACGCTGCGTTTTGGGATATTCTGCTTCCTCTTTCGGAAATTGAAATGAGATTGTTATTGGTGAGTTTTAACTCGTGTTGTGGTGTTTGTTGGATGCAGAACCAAGATCATGGCGAAGGATGCGATTGCTTTGTTAGATCATCTAGGTTGGAAAAAAGCCCATATTTTTGGGCACTCGATGGGTGCGTGCTGTGAATCTTTCATTTTCTACCTGACATAGATTTGGGTCCTATTTTGCATGAATTTGAAATAAGTAATTGAAGGGGAAATAAACAAGAAAATAGAATGAATTGGGGTTTTTTAACTTATGCATATATTTTTTATTAAACTTTTAGAGAAGTTAGACAACAGACCTTCTATTGAAGTTAAAGTTCATAAGTTAGATTTTAATTCAAGGGAGAAACTTAATTCATTTTATCATTTTCTTTTCTCCTAGGACTTGTGGATAAGTAATTCAAATTTGGCCTTAGGATAGGTTTGTTTAATTTACTACCTTTCACTGCAAACAGGAGCTATGATAGCATGTAAAGTAGCAGCAATGGTTCCTGATAGAGTCCTTTCCTTGGCTTTGCTTAATGTGACGGGTGGAGGTTTTCAATGTTTTCCAAAGGTATTGAATTGTTCTTATGATCTTTTGGGAAACCTCCAAACTACCTTTACTTTTTTCATAGATGAGTATGAATTTCAGAGAACATTGACTTGCTGTTTCAGAAAACTAAGGTGGTTCCTTGGTAAACATCCCCCGATCTTTCAGCGTCATGTTGCACCTATTGTTGATTGTATCTTAAATATCTGCTGTTTATCTCTTGTCGTCTTTTAACAATTGAAACGAAAGAGTTGAAGAACTATAATAAAGTTCCATGAGGTTGACCCTGGTTAAAACAAAATAAAGTAAAGAAAAGAATATATAATATAACTAAGGGAAATGGTAATTCTCAGACTTCAGAGGCAGCCATTTGATATTAGCCATCAACATACAAGAAAACAAATATGCATGTGCAGTGGCATATATAATGTCTGATCCAAAGTTTACTCCTGGTTAAAATTTTCGGCACCATACCTCAAATCCCTATTGTGTGGCTTACTCATTTTATATTTGGCAGTTGGACCGACAAACGTTCTCGGTTGCTTACCGTTTCTTGAAAGCTAAGACTCCTGAACAAAGGGCTGCTGTTGACTTGGACACCCATTATTCACAAGTGAGAACCTTTATTCACTATTTCCTGTTAACCAATAGCAAGTTGTCTTGCTAACCTTATCTCCCTAACTTTTTAAAACCTTTGATTCCACAAAGTGCGTTGACCCTAACTATAAGAAAACTAAGTGTGGATTTAAAAAATTGAACCTCTCAATATGTACTCAAATCATATCAAAAGAATCTTGCTCTTATCGTCAATATTAACATTGAGACGAAGGTTTATTTTGTGTCTGATAGACAGTAACTGATAGCTTAGAGATTTTTATTCGTTCTGTTCTTGTGATGAATCTTAAAGATTAGTTTATATATGGCATGCAGGAATATCTTGAAGAATACGTTGGAACAGATAAGAGGAGAGCCATCTTATTTCAGGTACAGTATACTAAATAAGCTTATCTTAATTAAGTAGACATTAAGTCTGCTGGGAGTATATTACTTTGTGCTGTAGCTGTGTGTTTGTTTGTATAGTTAAACAGCAATATATCATACACATTTATAAAGACGAGTGAAACTTATATAGGTGGTTGCTAATCCCTGTAAGTAAGTAATCCAAAGACATATACCACCGTGACTACAAATGCGTATACTAGTATCAAAGTTTTGCAGAGTGTAATATAAGGGTCTATGCTTGGATTTAGAATAAGATAAGGGACGTTTTGATACAATTGTTACCAAGAATTAAAAGAATTTACACAACAATACACAGGTACAGATAACTTGTATTGATTACTGAGAATTGGAGACTCTAGGCATTCCCCACAAAATGAGTTTCCAAAAACCTCCTACTACAGTAATAATATTGCTATTTATACCCTGTAACTGCTTAACTGACTGATTTGTGGGTCTCTGCCCATCTTCAGTTAGGTCATTGTACAATGCTTTGATTGATGCAATCCCTCTTGTAAGGTCTGAATCACCCTTCAATATTCTCTACTGTCCCCCCACCTTACACTTCATAGTTAAGTTCTCAAAGTTAGTCTCTTGTAAGGAAGCCAGCCAATCCAACCCTAGCACTACATCAGCACCTCCTAATTCAAACAGAAAAAAAATATTGTTCAATTTCTGTTCCTTGCAGCTGTAATTTGAGTCCTTTACATTTCCCTTGGCATTGAATCTTTTGCCCATCCCTTAGTAATAAGTTGGAGTATCATTAACCCACAAATCCAACCCTTTTACCAGTTGTTGATGTGGAATAAAATTTTGCATTGCTCCACGGTCTATTAGCACTATTACCCTTCTTCCAGCCACCCATAGTTTGAAGGACCTTCATGATGTGAACCCAGCAATACTATGTAATGACAGTTGAAATTCTGTGTCTTCTTCTCTTGGGCCCTCTCAATCCTCTCCACCCCCTTCTTCTTGCTCCTCTTCTAATACCATCACTCTAATCTGCTTGTTTTTGCATATAAGATCTTGACTTAACATCACACGTCTAAAACATTCTCCTTTTTTTCATTTTCTCTAGCACTTCTGCATTTGTCAGCCTTTTATATTCTCCTTGTTTCGTCCTTGCTTGAAACCCTCAACTCAACTTTGGTTCCAGTTCTGACAGATGCACTTAGTTCACATGCGTCCCCTTGCCTTTTGTTGGTGCTGCTCACTCTGCTGTTGTGCATCCCTCCAAAACTCCTATAAGTTCATAAATGCTTTATTTATGGCTCCAGCTAATGATCTTGGTTCATATAATTGAACTTCTGCACTCACATCTTCCTTAAGGCCATTCAAGAACACATCTTACAAATAATCTTCTTCAATCCCACGTATCATCCCAACATACTTTTCAAGCTGATCTACAAAATCAGCCAATGTACCCTCCTGTTTTAGCCCAAGAGCAGTGCAAAAGGGGACTTTGCAACAGATGGTTGGTACCTGTCCACAACAGCATCTTTGAAAACCTCCCAAATTGGTCTTTGGTTGCAAGACTCCCACCAATGGAACCAACTAATCGCCCTTCCTTCCAAAGAAACCAATGCCACTTCAGTCTTCTAGTTCTTTGATTATCCCGATTGATTGTCTACTATCTCTATTCTTCCTTATAATTTTTATTCTTACTTCCATTTTCCATTTATCTATCTTCAATTTTGTCGCTAAGTTTGTTGTCAAATTCAAATCTTACTATTCTCTTTTCCCTCCTTGAAGGAGCCCAGGATTTTTGTATTTTAACTTTGACGTAATTGAATGAAATAACTTCATTTTCGAGTTCTTGAAAGAGTTAGAATTCTCTTTTTCATTAATACTTATTTTGTATCATTGGATCAAAAATGAGTTCTTCCTCTTAAATGCAAATTTTTAAGTTCTTGCCTATATGAATTTGTTCTTTCTCTTAATTGCAAACCTTCACATTAATATAATACAATTGGATTAAATTTGTTTCTAGTGGTAAGCATTCTTGAGTTTAATCTCAATTAATTGTTAAAAATCTAAAACTAGAGATTTTAACATACACCTTCCAAACAAAACATAATTGGACTTTTATTCTAAGGTCTACACCTTACTTATATACTTTAATTTAATCATATCTCTAGTCAATATAGAATTTTCAATATTTCACTTGAATCAATTCTTGATGCTCATAACTCCAAATCGGAGCTTAGATACCACTTCATACAACTCGTACCAACAATAAAAAAGAATTTTCACCATAATACATAGAGATGGAGTTAAAGAGAGCGAATAACAAGAAAAGGTAAATTGTGAACTTGTTTCGATTATTGAGAACTTGAGAGTATTAGAACTATTTCCTAAACCCTCAAACTACAATAATAACATCGCTATCTATACACTGTATGTCTAACTGACTGACCTGTAATAAGGGGAAGGAAAGTCACCTTTTAGTTATTCCCCTCGTCTTTTGTTTCCCTCACAACCCCCAAACACAGGATACATAACCATCATGCTGTTCATAAGTATTTGAAATCTTTTTCCTTATTTTCCTGATTCACCACCACTGTCTCTTTCAGCAATATGTTAAAGGTATATCCACAACTGGGATGCAATCTAACTATGGTTTTGATGGTCAACTCAATGCATGTTGGACACACAAAATGACTGAAGCAGAGATTGAGGAGATCAAATCTGCAGGTTTTCTTGTTTCAGTCATCCATGGCAGGTTTGTACTGTGTTAGGAAACATTTATTTAATACTGCTTCATAGGAATGTTAGTTTCACAATATAAATGGAACTTGACCCAAGGCACACATGCACAGATCATTCAGACACAAAGAAAATAGTGCATTAAATAAAAAACACTGTACAGATACTCAACTTATGCACTTCATAGTTTTACCTAATCATTGAAATATTTCCTTCACGTTCAGGCATGATATAATTGCTCAGATATATTATGCAAAAAGACTTTCTGAGAGGCTTTATCCAGTTGCCAGAATGGTAGATCTTCATGGAGGTCATCTAGTAAGTCACGAGCGGCCTGAAGAGGTAAATTTTTTATGTAATATGATATATTATATGCTTGATAATTTGAAAATAACATACTGGCAATTTGCACGCTGTACTTTGCCTCTAAAGATGCATTGGAAATGGACTAAAGCATTTCTAAATTCAGGTTAATCAAGCGCTATTTGACTTGATCAAGGCATCAGAAGTGAATATGAAACCGCATGATTGGACCAATTTGCCAAAGGAAGAGTCTTGTAAGTATTTCACGTTGAAGGTTATATATTTTATTGCACTTGGCAATTTAGGATGAGCCCTCACTACTATGCCATGACTGTTTTCTGTAGCTTGGTGGGTTGTCAATGTGAGGTAATAATGTCTAAGCTCCAATCAGAGACAGACCCACGTTCGTGGGTAAGGGCAGTGTTCCCAGTCAAATTTACTACTACCGTACATGATTTTCCATTTTTGACCCCAGAGCCTTAGAAGGTTTGCCCTAAAACAAGGTTCCCTGGGTAAATTCTAATATTTACAAACCACATCTAATTCCTCTCTTTTGGACTTCACCCTATTCCTCCCTTATCAGTAGCATCTAGCAAAACCCAATTTCATTTACAATTGTTAACTAATATTTGGTTTCGAACATGGTTAGATTATTTAATTATCATCCAACAGCCCCCAGGTCTTCACAAAGCACAGAATGTTTCATCAGTGAATACCCAGTCCTAGTTGGATTTACAGGTGAATTTCTTCGAGATGTGCTAGCCCTCATTCACAACAAAAGAAAAAATGATATTGCTTTCCATGAAAAAACTAAAGAGTATCATGACTTGAAAATACCAAAAGATTTACTGGGCAAGCCGACCAAACGGTTTTCCCCCACTAGGCCACTACCCAATATTTCCAGGTCTGTCTCTGGCTCCCAATTAGTAAACATGGTCTGTTATCATATGCTTACTTGAAATAAAATACATCTATTACTCTAACTGCATTGCAGGCCCATGATTAAACAAGTGTATATTAGAACGAGTTGGAATGGGCAGCAGTTGGTTGGGCCCAGTTAGGGGGTAGCTTTTTCTGTCGTAGGCTGTCAGTCACCAACCTATAAACGGGAAAAACTGTATAATATTTAAACCTCTAAAAAGGGGGTCATAGGAGAATTGAAATTGTGGGGAGTGGATTCAGCCAGACCTCTCAAACTTCTGGAGCAATGTATCATTTTCGTCGGGAGATTTTCCCTATTATTCATTCAATAAAATTTCAATTTCCTCGATGTTTTTTATGCTGGTTCTGTTCAATTTCAATAACCTATCTGGATTATATTGGAGATGAGAACATGTGTTACCCAAGACAATCTTTTTATGTGCACACATCTGTTTCTAATAAGATCTACTTTATACCTATCTTGTGCAGGGTGGAAAGAGAAAAGAGTGCTGATGAAAACAAACATTCGGGCTGGAAGCAATGTCTCCCTTAAATGCATGTATGAAAAACTGCATCTCTGCCTATTATACGTCTTTGGTCTCCTTGTTTTAGCATTTGGATATGGAAGAAAGCTTCTAAGAAGCTTAAAACCAGTTCGAGTTGGAGGTTCCACGTCATATATTGAAAGTCGATAACTCCTTTCGTTAATAGGTACAACTATGACTATATTCTTTTCTGAATTATAATAACTGAGTTGGTTACGTATTTTATAAAGATTTGAGGTTGGAATCCTTAACTCCTACTCGTCGCAGGTGAATTGTATAATTTGATAAATCCTCGAAGTGAAGGAGATCACAGCAAATTAAGTCTCATGCTTACAGCAAACTGCATCTCAAACAGAAAGAAAGCACAAGAGCGGATCCTAGATTTGTGCTATTTGAGGCATGACACTACATATCCCTCTTTAGTAACAAGATGAGTTCCATGTGCTCCGTAGAGCCAATAAAGCGGAGGGGACGATCCACTTATATATTGAACAGAATCTAACTCACCGTACCACATTTTTATGAACAATGTTTAATAAATATAGAAATAAAAAACTATCAAATCAAATCACACGACAAACGAGTGACATGATTCTGCGTGAATGGCCTCTTTAGCAGATGATTTAAACGAATCACAGGATTTTCTAATTCTGAAGCTTCTTAGCAACCTCGTTGGATTTTCATAATTGTTCACAACATTTGTATCCTCTTTTCTCCTTTTTGTGGAATGCTTGGTTGAAGTGAGGATGGAGAAAATTGAGAGGATGAATCTCAATTTGTATGTTTGGTGATAAAGAAACAGGGAAGAGAATTAAAAAGTCGGTTTTTTATTGATACTTTTTTTATTTTATGTCTACTCTTCTTTTTATTTCTTCTAATTTCTTTTTTATTTCAGAGTAAAACCTTTGATTTTTATTTTGTTTCTCACCTATTTTTTCTAATTTATTTATTTTCATTTACTTAACATTTCTCGTTTATACCAAACAAACAGTTAAGTAGAACGTTGGGAGTTGAAGTGTAAGATTTGGGAAGCAGATTAAGTGCGTGACCCATGATAATTCCATCTGAAAATATATTTAATTATTTATAATTCGCGCTTGTAAACAAGCATTCCAGGAACCATTTATACATCTTAGTAAGAAACCATTAATATTGCAAGTAATTCTTATTCAACACTTTACTAGGAGATAATACATTACTTGGATTTAAATAATGAACCAACACAAACTTTCGCATAATAACAAATACTAATATGATGTAAGCATATTTAGCGGTAGTTTTTTGTATATACCGAGAAAACCATCACTATATAATACTTCTCCCGGAGTCAAACTTAATCCAGTTACAAAACCTAAAATTAGATAAACCAAATCTACATCCAAAAAACATCATTCCTAACAAAAAGAGGGATTTCCTACGGAAGTAGTACACATGTGTAACTAATATGTAAGCACAATTTCATGTGTTTTTCAAAGATGTGTGAAACTTTAAAAAAAAAATCTTGATTAATTTCTGTACAATTTAACCCCACTTGCTTCAACAATTCTGTCGGATTGATGCCTGGGAGTACAATCAACAATTTTAAATTCTTAATCTATGTTCTTAGGAATGATTAATAAGTTATAGGGGATTTAAACCCACACCCTATCTCACTTCCCTTTATCATCCTTCCTATTATTAAATCAATCCCATAATCTAGTCTCTTTTATCATATAACACAATTAATGAAATGTTGTAGCCACATAACTTGTCATGTGAACAATTGGCTATGTAAAAGTTATATGATGAAATATTATCGGTTAGGTTGTGTTTGTTTAGAAAAGAAAATGTTGTGTAGAAAATAACTACAGCAAGAAAATAAAGTAACAATCTTGCTGGTAAGGAAATCGATAAGGAAAAAATGTCATTTTTTCGCTATAATTAACATATTTACTTTTTCTCTTGTATACGAATAGAAAATAGTATTAAAAAAGTTATTAAAAGCATAATTTTAAAAAGCATTATTTTAAAAAGTTACTAAAAGCATAATTTTAAAAAGCATAAAATTATTTACTTTTTCGCTATAATTAACATATTTTTACTAAAAAAAATGAGATATATAATTTAAAGGCATTATTTTAAAAAGTTATTTTATTAATAAAACTAATTAATAATTATATTAGCAATTTTATAACTGAATAAATACTTAATTTAATTTTAATTTAATTATTCATTAATTTTAAATAAACACTTTCAATTTCTTTTTATGTATCTTTTCTCTTAAATAAATAAGAACATTTTTTATTTTATTTTATTTCCTTTTTTATTTTCCTTTTTACAATTCAAAGACGTTACAAATTTTCTGGTGATATAAAACTACTTACTACTTAGAAAATAGACTCTTTAATTTTTATGTCTTTTTACATAAAACTTGTAATGAAGGATAAACTTGTTCTCTTATCACCATTCTCATTGACTTTGGGTCATGATATTTAACATTTGTCTGTGTTAGGTTTTAATTCAAAGATTAAGTGTTAAAAAAGGTTTTTAAGGTATTAATTTTTAATTTCACTTTTATGAACAAAAAATTTTCACACTGTAAAAAATGATTGTATATTAGAATTGCAAAAATATGTTTTGTATGATAACATTTAATCACATGATTGTCACATTAAACTAAAATTGGGAGATTAAAGATAATACTTGATATGATAATGGTAGACAAAAATTGATTATGATCGGTAAAAAAATTGTTAAAAGACTGAAACTAGTAAAAAAATTATTAAGAGACCAAAAGTAAAACTTAAAAAAAAAATGATATCATGTGACAAACTACATTATAGGCAATGTTATCATGTCAATATTTAATGTTATGATAACGACAAATACTAAAAAGATAATAAAAAAAAGTTGCCATCGAGAATTGATAAAAGTTTTATGAAATAAAAGCCAAAATCTTAAAAGTTGAAAGGGTAAAAAACTTATTTTATCCTAACTTTTCTAAAATATGATGTTTATAAGTTTTATTCATATTTTGATTGCTTAAATTTTAGGCGACGCATTTTACAGGTGTATACTTTACACTGTTTTATAAGTAGAAGAAATTTTCCCATATTATTAATAAAAAATAGGTTTTAATATATAAATTTTGTCATTTTTTAAATTATTTTATTTAATTATATTTCAACCACGGTAAAAAAAAATGTGATTTTTTACAATAATATATTAAAACAAATTAGGTAAAAGGTATGGTAACAAATTTACAAATATTGAGAAATATTCTTAGTCAACATAGAAAAGAAAATATTACAGATATAGCTTAATTTTTAACATCGAACTTGAAACTATTAGGTATATCAGGGAGGGTTTCTCAAATTTACTGACATAGTAATCCAGCTTATGGTGATTTGGTTGTCATTAATCCAACTAATATTTTACATAATAAGAATAAGAAAATAGATTATTCACTATATAGATCATCTACACAATATGTATGTAAGCATAGCATGTCTAACTAATACATTAACACATGGGATTAAACATAAGCTTTCTAATTATCTGTTTCAATGTATAATTGTTAAAGATGGGAAATATCTGTTAATCAACAGTGGAGCACACGTTCCCGATTCATGGATTAAACTTTTTATAGCTTCTAATCTACAGTGAAGTAAAACTTTCCCATTCATGGAGAAAGAATGAGCCTGAATTGAAATATTTCATATCATTTTCTTTAATTTTCCTAAACTTACATTCGGACTGGAACAATAGTTGATAAAGAAACAAATGAATGGTAGACGGAGTCATAACGAATGTTCAACCATATAGAAGATAATATTTGCATCCAAATCATTTTATCTATCGTAGCTTAACTCGACATTAATCCTAAAACCAATCGATATTTCTATTTTCCAATAAAAAAAAAACTCTCGAAAGAAATTATCGTGGTATCATACATATCAAGTAAGAATTTGCATCATAATGAAATAACCTAATTCTAAAATCCAGAATGGTGGAGAAAACGCACCTGATAAGGTTGATATTTGTGTTGGAAGTTGGCAGAGAGAAGAAAGGGGAAAGAAAAATGACGCAGAGAACGTGTAAAATGCCGAATAATATACCTACATTTGCTAGGAAAGAAAAGAAGCTCTAAGCAAATATTCTACTGGAATATGCCACATGCTAAGACCCATTAAATTCCAATACAATCGGCCCAACTGCTTTTTTACCAAAACGAGTAACAAAAAATTGATTTTAGCAAAGGATCAAAAATTTAAAATTTCATTAAAATAGGTCAAATCATACAAGTTTGACCGGTTAACATTAATACACGATTTGATTTAAAAAAAAAAAGTGATTGATAGGACAAGTTGTGTATAATTTCTATTTTAGTTTTATTGTTTTTAAAGGAATTTTTTATTCTTTTAAATATATTATTTATTACATAATTAGTTTTGATTTAATTATTAATTTAATAAAAAATAAAAAAATAAAAAAAAACATGAATAAATTTAATACAGTATGTTTATATTAAAATATTACATAAATATATATATTATCACAAAAAAAAAAATTAATGGTGAGATCCTATCCCAAAAGTGGAAGTTCGAGTTGAAAGCAAATGAAGGGAATCGTTCAAAAGTCTCCAACAAAGAAATTGATCAATATTAATGCTTAGCTTTTGGCGTTTGTGTTCTATATTATCCAAAAAATCCTTTCTTATTTGTGTTTTTTAGGTTTACGTGGTTGGTTTTGAGTATGTATTTGTTATCCTTGTGTAGCACGCCTTCGACTTTGTGATAGTTAAGGTTAAATGTTTGTTTGTCTATTCATCTTCATTTGCGTATTGCATAGGGTACATGGGTATAGTATCATGAAAAATGTTTGATTGTATATAAATGGTGGTGTCATATAAGAGGTGAAAAACATATTTGTTTCAGATGAAAATGTATAAGGAATTTATCCTCCAAATTGAAATTGAGCAGGTAAATTTTTAAGTTAATAAACATATCCAAAATATGGATAAGATTGTTAATAACTCGAATGACCATCATGGATATGATTAAGTTGACCAATATATTGGAATTATTCATGTTATTGTGTATCGTACTTGTTAAAAAAATCAATATTAATTTGATATCAATATTGTATATATAAAATAAAATTATTGATATATTACTTACTTCGTCATCTAAATCTTTTTCTTGAGTTGAGGAAATATATCTAATAGTATGCTGAAAATACTATATCATATATAATATATTTTCACGTAATTGGTCATTTCCGCTGAACTCATTTCCTTGAATTATTTGATTGTGACGGTAATTCCACATAGTAATCCAAGTTTCATGGTATTTAAGTCAAAATCTATCAGTTCTACCTCTTATGTCTTCCTGTGAAGTTTGTTAAGATTGATCAGGTCTTCTGGAATTGGTTGGCGAAAACCAAATTACCTCATAACTAGGATTGGTTAGACGATGCTTAACAATAACAAAACGAGATAATTGGAACTATAACATGACTCACAGGAGAAACCTCAACATTTATTAGTCGTTGTAACCCAGTTTGATGATAAGAAGTCCACAAAAAATGTATTTTATAGAACTTATGAAATTAGAATTATTATCATTTAAGAAATATATATTAAAAGTTGTAATAAATGAAATATCTCCTTTGGTTTTAAATGATCAAATGTTAGACCTAATACATGTACTACATATGTAATCACGTTGGACCTTTGACTTGGTCGTGACCACCTGTTGCATACAAAAAATATATTATTATAAAATGAAGTAATATGAAAAGAAATAGAATAAAAAATATAAAATAAAATTAAATATCTTTTAGCCAATGAGAAACCATAACATGCATTCTCCAATATTCTCTTGGTGGTAGTCAATGCCATGAACCAATGCTTTATACAAACATGTCAAAATAGTTAATCTCCAACTATAGTTTGAAACTAGAGCAAGGTCATGCAATAGTAAGAGATACATTAAGTGCAGTCTAGATGCTGAAGTATCAAACAATAATAAACACCCTATTATTGTCAGAATGTGCCCTAATATTTTGTGCCACAACATTATCGTCTACATCATCTAGAAGGTGTTGGAACGAAGTGTTTAACTAAGATAGTTTTATTGTGTTGCTTGTAGTAATACCTTGCAGTGGGAGTGAACCTAATAATGATTCACAAAAGACGATCAAATCTTCATTGCTGAGACTTGTAATCGGTAGTTTATCAATGAGCAGACCTAATTATAAGGTCATATCTTCTAATGTAACTGTGGCTTCTCCGATGAAAAAAATGAGAGGTGTGGGTTTTAGTTTTTCACCTTTCAACTAACGTTGTGATCAAATGATGATTGACATCAATAGTTCCAATTGTCATCAATTATCCAAATCCTGCCTGGTAGATCAAATTTTTAACTCGATCGTCCAACATGTGTTCATGTTTTATTATTCACATGTTATGTCACCTACGACGTAATAATATTTCATTTTCTTCCCATATTACTTTTGTGATATGTTTGTCCTGAATGTTAGAAATGTAGGCTGAGATCAAGAGGGGGTGAATTGATCTTTGAAAGATTTTCGCAATTTACAGATTATCTATTTAAAAGATTAAGAAATCTGACCAGTTCTTGAATCACACACAGCAAGCAATAAAAATAAATGCAGTCACAGAATTAAAGGAGAGAAAGGTTTAGAAAGATAGAACCAAGATTTATATTGGTTCACCTAATCCCAGGGCTACGTCCAATTTCCAGCCAAATTCCAGTTGGGTTCCACTAGCTTGAACGTTTTACAGATTACAACTTTAATATCACACTCAATCTACCACAAGAACCAAAATTCTAGTTCCTGCACCTAATCCTTCACCAAGAACCAAATTCCAGTTCTTGACCAACCCTGCAGCCAAATTCCAGCTACAGAACCCAGTGCCCACAATTCCAGGCACCCACAATACAGTAAAGAAAGTAAAGAAACAAAGAGAAAAAATTAGAACGCTCAAACCAGATTTATGCAACTCTGCAGTGAGTTTCTTCTCCAAGAGAATGCAAATTTTGCCTCAAGAAAGAACTTCTATGAACTTATAAAAACTAGCGCGATTCTCTCTTGAAAGTAGCACTTATGATTGTTTGATTGATTGCTAAAAAGATGTGTTTTAAAAAGTTCAAGCAACTCTGTTTATATAGAAGATTTTCAAAACTGCTGGTTTATTTAATCTGTTAAAATAATCTTTTAATCTGTTAAAAGTCTTGTTTTAATATGTTAAAACTTCTTTTAATCTGTTAAAAAGTTCTTGATTATTTTCCAGATTTGTTTTAACTGATACGACACCGTTTATATCAATTAAAACTCTTTGTAAAAAATCTTCCAAACTGTTTTAATCGATTGTTTAGTCTTTCAATCGATTAAAATATCTGCAAAACATTCTTATAAACTTTTCTAAGTGATTTTAATCGATAACAATATGTTTTAATCGATTAAAACACTTTGAAAAAAAGTTCACTTAGTTATTTTAATCGATTGAAACACATTTTAATCGATTATAATTCTGCCAAAAGATTTCATAAAACTTTCTTAAGTTATTTTAACTGATAGCAAGCTTGTGTTAATCGATTAAAACATTCTGGAAAAACTCCTTAGTTGTTTTAATCGATTATTTCGCATTTGTATCGATTAAAGTTCTGCCACAATACTTTTCAAAATATTCTAAGTCATTTTAATCCATTATAACAATTCTATATCAGTTAAAAACCTGTTACAAAAGTGTTAAGAACATTTTAGTTGATAAAGCTTATATACTATTAGTTAAAATAGTTGATTAAAAACCTTTTAACAAAATACTTTGTTTTTAATCGTTTAAACATTTTTTAGAGGCATTTGCAGAATCTTTTAAATGAAGAAACCTCATGCAGCGGTAAGAAAGTTTTGTAATCTTTTTAGAGGCATTTGCAGAATCGTTTAAGCAGTGATGAATTTCGAAAGTTTGAAACATAAGTTGATTTAATCGATTAAATCGACATTTAATCGATTAAAACAGTAAGAAAAATGTTGTATAAGTGCTTTTAATCAATTTAAAACTTGGTTTTATCGATTAAAACAACCAGTTTTGAAAAACTAAGTAATGTTTGATGCATCTAAAATGCCTAATTCAGTGCGGATTTTGTAAAAACGATCACGAGCAAGAGGTTTTGTAAAAATATCTGCTAGTTGTTTTTCAGTTTCTATAAAGAAAATTTCACAATCACCTTTCAAAACATGATCTCTAATAAAATAATGTCTAATTTCTATATGTTTTGTCCTAGAATGTTGAATTGGGTTTTTAGTTAACATAATGGCACTAGTATTATCACATAAGAGAGGAATTTTTCTGAGAATTAAACCATAATCCTCAAGCTGTTGTTTGATCCAAAGAGATTGAGCACAACAACTTCCAGCTGCAATGTACTTGGCTTCATCTATAGAAAGAGCAACACATGATTGCTTTTTACTATGTCATGAGATTAGACTGCTTCCAAGGAGATGACAGGTGTCACTGGTACTTTTCCTATCAAGCTTACAACCTGCAAAATCTGAGTTAGAGTATCCAATTAAATTTAGTTTGGACTCACCAGGATACCATAACCCAACATTTAAAGTTCCTTTGAGATATTTGAGGATTCTTTTTGCAGCAGTAAGATGGGATTCTTTTGGTGCAGATTGAAACTTGGCATACATACAAACACTAAATATAATGCCAGGTCTACTTGTTGTTAGATATAGTAAAGAACCAATAAGCCCTCTACATTTAGTTTCATCAACAGGTTTTCCTTTTTCATTAGAATCAAGATAGCAATTTGTGGACATTGGTGTTGATGCTTCTTTGCACTGTTCCATCTCAAATTTCTTTAAAAGTTTTGTGCAGTATTTAGATTGATGAAGAAAACTTCCTTCTTGAAGTTGTTTAACTTGTAATCCAAGAAAGTAGTTGAGTTCCCCCATCATAGACATCTCAAATTCTCCTTGCATATCTTTGATAAAATCTTTACATAAAGACTCATTAGTGGCTCCAAATATGATGTCATCAACATATACTTGAACTAGAATTACATCAT